TTTTTTTTTTTTTTTTTTTTGCCCAGCATCTCTGTCTCTATACAAAAATATGTCAATCTCTTCTATATTAGGAGTGTCACTTTTTGAGGATTTTTTGGACTAAGAGGGCTTAAATATGTTAAATTCTTCTTTTCAACTCTTTGCTCGAAAGATACTATTCTTGCTTTTAAATAATTGTGGTTGTGAAGACTCCCCCTCTTGGTGTTGTGATTCTCTAAATTGGGGCCTAATACTATGGAATCTTTGTAGTTGTTCTTGTTCCCATTGAGAAGCTCGTGATGCATGTCTACCCATATTGAATGCCCTTTGCTCTGTATCATCATCATCATCAATGTTAACATATTCAGACATTTCTTCATCATCATCATCTTTTTCTTCTTCCTCATCCCCATCATCCCTCCTAGCCAAGTGATGTTTAAGATGTGTTACACCACCGCCTTTCATAATCTACCCACAAAATATACATCTGGTATGGAGTCTATTATTATTTACTTTACTACCATATCTCCATCCAATATCTGGTTCTTCTTCCGTACCATGTCAAATACTCGGTAGAGAACACTTTATTCAATATAAATGTTATATTTATTCATGATCCGCATTTCCAAATTACTATTCAAATTTAAATAAAAAAACAAATGATCTATGGAAATGTTAAATTATCCATATATTAAGAATATATTCAATGTTTATGAAAGAATTACAATAAAAGATAAATAATTAATATTCAGTTTTAATTTTAAAACTGATATATCAGCCATATATTAAGAATATATTCAGTCCTTAGGGCCATATCATAACAAAATATAATTAATTATTATTTACTTTTAATTCTAAAAATTACAAAAGAAAATTCAAAAAAAATCATATTTGAATGATAAATGCCAAATGATTAATGAATATGATAGGTCCACCATATATTAAGAATATATTCAGTCCTTAAGGCTATATGTATATCATAACAAAATATAATTAAATATTATTTATCTTTAATTCTGAAAATTATAAAAAAAATTCAAAAACATCATATTTGAATGATAAATGTCAAATAATCTGTGTATATGATAGATCAGCCATATATTAAGAATATGTTCAGTGTTTATGGACAAATCATGTTAAAAAATAATCAATTAATATTTATTTTTAATCCTGAAAATTACAAAAAAAATTCAAAAAATCATATTTGAATGATCAATAATCTATAGATATGATAGATCAGCCATATATTAAGAATATGTTTAGTGTTTATGGACAAATCATAATTCTGAAAATTACAAAATAAAATTCAAAAAATCATATTTGAATGATAAATGTCAAATAATACATGGATATGATAGATCAGCCATATATTAAGAATATATTTAATTTTTATAGACAAATCATATTAAAAAATAATTAATTAATATTTATTTTTAATTCTGAAAATTATAAAAGAAAATTCAAAAAAAATCATATTTTAATGATAAATGTCAAATAATCTATTTATATGATAGATCAACCATATATTAAGAATATATTCAGTGTTTATGGACAAATCATATTAAAAAATAATTCATTAATATTTATTTTTAATTCTGAAAATTACAAAAGAAATTTCAAAAAATCATATTTGAATGATAAATGTCAAATAATCTATGGATATGAAAGATCAACAATATATTAAGAATATATTCAGTGTTTATGGACAAATCATGTTAAAAAATAATTAATTAATATGTATTTTTAATTCTGAAAATTACAAAAAAATTTGAAAAAAATCATATTTGAATGATAAATGTCAAATAATCTATGGATATGATAGATTAGCCATATATTAACAATATATTCAGTTTTTATAGGCAAATCATAGTAAAAATAATTAATTACTATTTATTTTTAATTCTGAAAATTATAAAAATAAATAAAAATGAATAATATATTTAAAGAATAAATTCCAAAATGCCAAATGATCTATGGATATGATAGATCAGCCATAGATTTAAAATATATTCAGTGTTTATGAACAAATCATAATAAAAAATAATTAATTAATATTTATTTTGTATTTCCAAAAATTACTAAAAAATAAAAAAAATAAAAACAAATTACATAGAAAATTTCAAATCTTACATGGATATGGGAGATCACCCATACGTTTCTAACATATTAAGTGTTTACATTCAAATAAAAAAGCAAACAATTTTTTTAAAATTTTTTTCTTTATTTTTTTTCCATATTTCTTCATAAAAATCCACAGATCTACACATATAATAAAAAAAAATGTGATTTTTGACATGGGAAATGTAGATCAAGTAGGTTTAGAGCATTTCCAAGCATTCAAACAAGAAAGAGACAATAAATCGGAGAGATTAGATGAAAAATTTGAAAAAAGTCACCTATTTTCGCAATATTTTCCAAAACTTCAAAAATCTTCCCAAATCTTCAAGTTTGATGCGTTTTTGTTGTTGTTTTTTTTTTTCTTTTGCAGATCTAACATTTTAAACAAGTATGTGAGAGGTTTGGAGTGGTTTGGGAGGGAGAGAATGCTTTTTTCGAGAGAAAGAAGCCTTCTTTCGTGAGTTCAAAAAATTATAGTTCCGCCCATATCGTTTTAGCACTGTATCGGTCGATACGCCATCGTATCAGGCGCGTATCAACCGATACGGCACCGAAACGCATGATACGGCCTTGTATTGTGTCGATACGGTACCGATATGAGCAAAAATATACGGCATTTATGAATTCTGTTAGACAGTTTTGTATGCCCTTAGCTTCAATCATTTTGATGTACTTTTGTTATTTAGTGGAAATAAATAAAGTGCATGTTTGATTCATGTTGTTTGGTTTAATTCTGTGT